TAAACTATTTAAAGTATATATTTGATATGTAAGGGTCCAACAATTTAAAAAACATGAAAATTTTATTCTTTTATGGTATCTTCCATTTTTATATTTTGTTTTGGTGTATTCTCTGGACAATAAATGACATTTTTGTATTAGTTCCTCACTGGCTGTTCCTTTTCAGATTCCTTAGGTTCTTCCTTTTTTCCCCTCAGAATATTTGTGGTGCACAGGGTCATCTTAGTCCTTTGGTAATTGGATCTTTTCTCTTGGATTCAATACTACCTTGTTGATTACTCCTAGATCCTTATCTGTGCCAGATCTCCTATATCCACCTGCCTACTGCCTGTATCTCTGCTTCAGTATTTCCACAGGCACCTTAAATTAAAGGTGACTAAAACTGAACTTGTAATCTCTTTTTCTGCTGGCTTTTTCACGCAGCTGCTCAATTCAGAACCTGTAACAGCCATCTTTAGCTCCTCCCCTATCTTTACTTCCACTTTCTAACTGGTCTCCCTGCCTCAACTCCCTCTTCCACATCACAGCCATCAGAATGAGTCCTGACTATGGAATATGACAGCCTAAAGTTCCTTAGTGTCTTCCCATTGAGTTTACAGTCCTTAGCGTTACATTTGTTACAAGGCCTGTTGGGATGTACTTCTGCAGCTTCTCTTTTTATTTTACCCTTTCCCTATTACACAAATGGTACTGTTCAGCCACATCAAAGCCAGCTTTATGTGCAGCATCAGCAGCCTTGCTGATACCCTGTTTCTTCTCTGGAAACATCTTTCCCCACTTTCTTTCCTGGTCATCCTTCAAGCTTGAACTCAGATGTTTCTTTCTCGGGGACTCAGTCTCCCATCTTCTCGGCAAGCAGTGTCTTCTCCATCCCCCGTGGCACCTTGTATACACATTTATCTAGTGTTATAAGCCTCTCCTTGATTCCTTAAGGAGGAAGAAGGACCTATTTTTGACCTCTACAGCACTTAGCATAAATGTCTGGATTGAATAAATGAATGGATTGTTTTTAAAATTACAGCCATAAGGATAGTAAATTTTAACTGGCTATATACGCAGTGAATATTAAGGAGTTAAGATTTTCCTTCATTTGGAGAACACTGGCTTTATTCCGTCTTGGATTTTGTCTTCTCCCAGTTATAAGTTCATCCCTTCTTGTCCGTTCTTGTGTTCTCCTGTCTTTTCCCCACTTGATCTGTAATCAGCCCTAAAGGACCAGTGAAACTGCCTAGAATTAGGATCTTAAGTTTTGGCAGGAAGCCCTTTAGAGTTGGTGATCTGAGTAGTGTCTTTGCCAGCTGGAGCTTAGAACAAAGAAACCAAACAAACTCTTGGCACTCTCTGAAATGCAGCTTTTTGCTTTTTCAGAAATTGTGATTCTGGTCAGTTGACACTGACTTAGAAGTGTATGTAGAACTCAGAGTCCAGTGGCCACGATTACAGTTCCTCTGGATTCCTACAGTAGTGCTTCACTAATTTTTGAATTTGCAGCCTGTTTGGAATTGAAATTACAGTCTAATAGAATTTTGGAGCTGGACAGGACTTTTTACTTGAGATAATGTCATACCATTCCCTAAATGAGGAACACTAAGTTTACTTACCTAGTTAATGGCAGATTTGGGCTGTGATCTTGATATTTCTGGCTTAGTTCATTTTCTGTTTAGCAGCATCTTTCATAGTTATAGGGAATGATAGTGCTGTAATCATTCTTAGAGGAGTGACACTTTTTTACTTGCGGTCTCCCCACAGCCTAAATGTTTTGGGAATGAGACTATTCATTTACCAGAAAATCCTTCTGCCAGTTATGCATTCTGCTTTTTTTTTTCCAGTAAGAAAAATGACAAGTAAGCAATTTTACAATAAGGATGATGTTTCAAAAATTATTTGAATAAGTAGTAGATGAACATAATAGAACATTAAAAAAGGTCTCACAGTGAAAATGTAAGATTCCCTACCTCCCTGCCCCAATTTCTCTTTCTCCACCCCAGAGGCCACTTGTTTTTTTAGGTAGTCTTTCAAAGGAAATCCCCTTTCTCCCTTTTCTAAAGTATCAAAATTTTAGAATTAAAATCTCAAGTATCAAAATTTCGTAAGTATCACATTTAGTAGTACTAAAAGTTTTTTATACCCATTTTAGCCTTCAGTTTCTGAGTGATTTAATAAGAATCTCCTCTCACCACCTCCCAACATTTTATGTTCACTTTCAAACATAGCAAAGTTGAAAGAATTACAGTGGGTACTTGAATCCCGTCAACTAAGATTTTACCATTATATTTTACTGTATTTGTATTCTCAGTTCCTTCAGAACTCCTCATAAAGTCTGCCTAGTTATATAAACAACCATGGATAGAATTTTGCTGCTTTTGCCACTGAAGGGAAACCAAAGGCCTGAGAGTGGAGAGAGATGGAATGGTCCATGGTTTAAACTAGTAACACTTTTTTCTCTGTGTGTGTGTTTTAAATGATTAGGATCATCAAGGCATAACAACTTATTTATATTATGGATTCAGTTGCTTTAGAGCACAGGTTAAGAGCTTAACTGACCACCCTTTTTGATGTTTCATTCTCTCGGCTTCTTTCTTGCACATTGGTCTCCCTTCTGATAAATCAAGCTAATACGGCTGTGTTTGGCTTTAATAGAGAAGGGAGCTATTGTATTACCCATTTTGGGGAAGCCATTGAGTTGGTTGAGTTGTGTACTTTTCTGAAGAAACACTAATTTTGATTGGAATGCTGAGAACAATTGTTTTAGTATTTTATTTTTCCCTTATATAAACAAAATAATCTAAATTTCTCTTATTGTACTCCTAGAAGCTTGTACATTAAGACCTTATTCTATAAATCCCTTACTAACAGGATACCTTTTTATAATTAACAATAAAACATAAAAGAATCTTAAATATTACTTGATTTTTCCTAAAAGCAAAGTTAAAAATAGATATTTGAAGTTTCAAGTGGGATTTGATGAATGTGGCTTAAAATATTTTGGCAGTTTATTCTGACTGGGAATGGAGAAAGGAAAGCAAAGAAAAAAAACCTAATGAAAAAAATATTACCCATAATCCCTTCACTTTGAGGATGATTTGTGTTAACATTTTGTATATCCTTTTAGCCTTTCTTTTCATATTCACGTTTAAACAAAGGATAACAATATACAAGCCATTTCATAATCTGCTTTTCCTCCCTTCACATTAAATGAATTTCCTCATTTTGATTCATATTCTTTTACTAAATGGTAAATTGTGTGGCCATTAAAACCATATGGAGGATGATAAATTTTCATTCCAAAGAACATGTTATGGAGGTCCTCTCTGGTTATCAGATCACTTTCAGTTTGCACTGATAGGAAAGGAATTAAAAGGGTAGTGAAGCAGTGCTGCTGGTTTAAGAAGTAGATCAAGGCAAGACAAGCTTAGAGCCATGCAAGCAGTTCTCATTTTTAATAAGTCAGCTAAGATTGGACAAACTGGCAATTGCAGATATTTTTATCCTGTATATTTTAGTAGGACTCTTGATGTTTAGCAGAATTACTCATATCATCACTATGTCACATTGATGGAGGTATATTTTAAAATACATAAATGCTGGTCAATTTTTTAAAAAAACAAAACAGCTTTGTTTCCAGCAGAGGTCTCATTAAAAGGAGGTTTTGCTGCACTTGACTGAAAGATTGAAACAAAACGCTGGTTGACAGTTCTTATCTATGGGAGTGAACAGAGGGATCCTTTCTCTCCCTCTCTTATTCATCTGGCAGGAAAGTTAATCTAGTTGCTTTGTATTTAGGGAAGCAGGCTTTCTTTATAGGGATTCCTTTTCTAAAGTGGTATTAATGTTCGATTAAAGTTGCTGTGGGAAAGGAGAAATGGGCCCAGGGCCCCTTGGTGGACATGTTTTCATGATGGTAGTGACAGCAGTGCAGTAGAAAACAAACCTTATTTGTGGAATAGACATTGATAAGGCTGGGTGACAAGTGATGTCCTGGAAGCATCGTGCTCAGCATTCTCACTTCTACCTTACCTTGTGATACCTCTGAAAAAGGCTTTAAACAAATTGTAGATATATATGTTCAGGAACCGCAATTTCAGAAAATCGTAACATTAAAAGAGATTGAATTACTTTAAGCCTCCAAGAGCAATTAACCCAATTTATAAGAAATTTACTTTGAATTCTTTAGTGTCTATCTCTTAGATAGTGATTTATTTCTCTCTTTAGTAAAAAGTTCTTGACAGGAGAAGAACCTGAACTACACTGACATTTGAGCACCTACCTCTATTGGAGCTTGCATCACTTTTATTTTAAGGCAGTTCTTTGGGGCAGGGAGTTTGGAATTGTTTATTTGTTTTTCTTTTTTGTTTCTTTTGTGTGTGGCATGGGCATGTGTGCATGATATGTATGTTAGAAAAGCCTTTTTTTTTTCTTCAGGGTTATAAACAAAGCTTGAAGATAATTCTGTAGTAAAATTGAAACTAGGTGGAGCAGTAATGTTTTAACTGATACTGAAGCAGCCGTTGACCAAACCTATGAAATGGTCTTATCTGTTTTCCTGTGATACATGTATTTATAATTACTGAGTTCAGAGGTATTTGACGTTTCCTTCCTTTGCACAACATTAAGGAATACTTCTAAATGTTTTATGTGTTGTTCGTTAGATATTTTAAAATACTATTCCAACTTCTGTTCATTTCTATCTGATGTTAAGTATAAAGTTGCAGAATTAGCTTGAGCACTGATTTCAGCTGGCATGAAATGAATATAGAGTGGCATCTGTCCAAATTAAGTTAAAAACAAAGGAAGTTCCTGTGTGTAATTTCCTGTCTCTTACAACAAAAACAAAAGCAAGCAAAAAACCTTCTATAATTATTAAGCTCTTTTTAGAGTATCTAATATTGAAAGTATGAATTTTGGTATTTTACTGTGCTAAATTGTTTGCTAGCTGTTCTCATTCACTTTATTAGACATTTTCCTAAAAGATAATTATTGTTTTTCTTTTCCTTTATCAGAACACAGCAATGGAGGAAACAGCTATATGGGAACAACACACAGTGACACTTCACAGGGTGAGTTCTGTTGGAGTAAATAATCTGTGTGTAGGTCAGGATACTGGCAGCTTTTGAAAACAATAGAGGAAAGCCAGATGTCAGGAAGCCAGAAGAAAGGGGAAGAACTTTTCTATATTCCTTTGTTTAAAATTAGAGTTGCAATAAATTCTTTATTAAGGTCAAAAGTGAACATGATTACTTTTTCATATATCCTTTTGGTTGTTATTTGTGTATTGCTGTTTTTAATCATGACTTAAGAAATTAAGTGGTTTATTTTTAAAAATTTGATCAGATAAAACGCACTGTATTTTCGTGTAAATTGTAAACTGTTTCAGCTTTTCTGAGTAATATGTATGTATTGTAGGCTTGGGGTTTAAAATTGAACAGGGTCATGCGAGTAATAAAATCTTAAAAGATACTGCTTGATTTGAAACATGCAGAGCCAAGCTCTTGCTTAAGCAATTGCAGATGGACAGAGAGCAAATTGCAGTGAGCTGGGTGAGAGTAAGAGCATTTTTGGACTTCCCTGGCGATCCAGTGGTTAAGACTCTGCACTTCCAATGCAGGGGGGAGTGGGTTTGATCCCTGGTTGGGAAACTAAGATCCCGCATGCCACATGGCACTAGAAATAGATGGAAAATTCTGGAATAAGAATTAAATAAATAATAGCTTAGAAAAAAATAAAGAGCTTTGTCTGAAATGAGACTGCCCTGAATTTGAATCCTACTGCTGCCTGCTTCCCTTTAGAAATGAGCAAGTGACCAAACCGCCTTTAAAGCATTAGTTTTCAGTGTTAAAAATGGGGCTTATGCCACCTCATGCTTGACATAAAGTAGTACCTCCCATAAATCTCTCCTTTCCTCCATTTGAAGAGAGCTGAATCTACTGATTACCCTTCTCCTTAGAGAATGTACAGAAAGAGATTAGAGAATATTTAAATATTTTACACTTACTATTTCTACCAGCTATATCCATTACTAGGAAAATGGAAAGGGGGAAAATCATGTTCCTGAAACACCCTGCACCTGACTGTCTCGTGAATCTTTGAATCTACACATGATAGACAGTGGGTAAATTAATTATTAAAAAACTGATTTCAGATAAGACTTTTTTGTGTCTCCCTGAATGGGGAAAGAAATCATTAATAATACTAACCTTAACTTTTAATTTATAAAGCTAAGGTATGGCTTGAATTTATTTGAAATGTGCTGATAGCATATTTAAATCAGATTAAACATATACCATCATACCTTATAAATGTTTAATTGGCTGGTTTTTATAGAATAATTTGGTGTTTTACCACATTACATCTATTTTCTTAATACCTTTATTATTTTTATTGGTATAATTTACACACAGTAAGATTCATCCTTAGTGTACAGTTCTGAGTTTGACAAACTCAGCATTTAGTCATGTAAGTCATATAACCACCACTACAGACGATATAGGACAATTCCATCGCCCTGAAATTTTCCCTTCTGCCATTTGTAGTGAAGCCCCGTCCGCTTACCCTGAGCACTGAGTAACCACTGATGTGTTTTCTGTTCCTGTATGCCTGCTTTTTCTCTCATGTAGGTGAACTCATACAATACATAACCTTTTGAGACTGGTTTCTTACACTTAGCCTAATGCACTTGAGATTTCTCCGTGATGTACTTATATCAGTAGTTCTTATTGCTGAATAGTATTCCATTGTATGAATGTAGAATAATTTGCTTATTCATTCTCCAGTCTTGGTACCCTGGGGTGGTTTCCAGTTTTTGGTGATTGTGAATAAATCTCTAGTGTACAGGTTTTTGAATGAACATAGCTTTTCATTTCTCTTGGGTAAATTCCTAGGAATGGAATTGTTTTTAGTTTGTAGTTCTCTAAAGACTAATGATTTTGAATATCTGATTATGCACTTATTTTGTAATCCATTATTTTCTTTGGTAAAATGTGTTCAAATCTTTTACCCATTTTTAATTAGGTTTTTTGTTTTCTTATATTGACCTTAAAAATGGGTTTACTTGGGATCAACAAAGAATTGCAATTCAGAGTCTGCAGCCACTGCAAGACACAGTGCAAGACCCCAGCAAAAATAGAACTCTTTTATAGAGGGGAAAAGGAAGTTGGGAGGGCTGTGGTAAACAGAGTCCATTGGAGGAATTGAGTCCAGAGTGTAGTGGTTTTTCATTGGCTAAATTGTGACAGTCTGTCATTGGCTGAGTTCTTGGCAGGCAAGAAGAGGAAGTCTTTCTTCTTGCTGGGCTCTGCTAACAGCACAGTGCATGAGTGCTCCCCCTTCTGGCCTCCCAACTCTATTTTTTTTTTCTTCACTTTTAATTTTTTTGCAGTTCGCGGGCCTCACTTTTCTTTTTTTTGCGGTTGCGGGGCATAGGCTCCGGATGCTCAGGCTTAGCGGCCGTGGCTCACGGGCCCAGCCGCTCCACAGCATGCGGGATCCTCCCGGACTGGGACACGAACCCGCGTCCCCCGCATCGGCAGGCGGACTCTCAACTACTAGGCCACCAGGGAAGCCCCCAACTCTATTTTAATTGAGGTTTCTGTTTATTAATTTTTATACTTACTGTTTTTTTAAACTGTGGTAAAATACACATAACAAAATTTGCCATCTGTCCAGTTCCTTTGTCCATTTTTAAATTGGGTTTTATTTGTTGAATTGTAGGAGTTTTTATATATTCTGGTCATTAACCCCTTATCAGATATATAACTCATAAATTTTTTTTTCCCATTCCATGGATTACCTTTGTACTCTGTTAATTGTGTCCCTTGGTGCACAGAAGTTGTTACTGAGTTTTGAGTTTTGAATATCTTCTGGATACAAGTTCTTTAATAGGTATTGTTTTGCAAATATTTTTCCCAGTCTGTGGCTTGCCTTTTTCCTTCTCTTAACAGTGTCTTTTGCAGAGTATAAGTTTCAGATTTTGATAAAGTCCAATTTGTTTGTTTTTGCTATTATTGATTTTGCTTTTGGTTTTGTATCTGAGAAGTCTGCCAAACCTAAGGTCCCAAATATCTTTCCTGTTGTTTTCTTCCGGAAGGTTTTGTTTTGTTTTTGTTTTGTTTTAATTAAATTTTGTATGTATTAAGATTTCTTTCTAGGGGATTTTTTTTTAATACGGATGTCCAGTTTTTTGAACAACCATTTATGAAAAGGTTATCCTTTCTTCATTTAATTGCTTTCTCCCTTTGTCAAAAATCAGTGACCATATATGTGTCGGTCTTTCCCTAGTCTC